TCGATCCTTACCAAATCAATCCTCACCTCTCTCATTTAATGTATTTTAATATGATGCAAATGTGTTAAACACCGTTAATGACATATTTTCGTTTAAATGAATGTTAATTATACAATTTAGATGTAAATTTCATAAATGATGATGAATAAATATGTGAAATTGTATAAATTTATCTACAAATTCAACACTATAAAATTTAATGGGTAAAATAGACAATTTAAACAAATTCAGAAGTTTATTAATTTATAAAAAGCAAACAATCTTATTGATTCAGATTCCAGATTTCAGCACCACCTCTTATAAATCATAAGTGAAATAAAACTTCAGACTTCAAACACCTCTTAAAAACAAACTTCATCTAAGAATCATATCTGATAAACGAGAAAGAAAATTCTTACCCGGTTAACACTTAAAAGGTAAGGTATGATTACCAACAATTTATTTTGATAGTCGAATTATCCAATAAGGTTAATAAGGGCTTCTGATAAACATTTACCTGATAAGATGATCGGTAAACCAACCTAAAGTTGGTCAAGTCATTTGTATTTTGTTCATGAAAGATTAATTAATATCGATAGTTAGTTTTGATTTTCAAGAGGGTTGTTATAGGATTGGTCCATGACTTCATTTATTACAGAGTAGGACTTGTGGTCTTATTTGTTAGTAGATTTGGTCCTTTACTCATAATGTTTGCTATCTTTTTTCATTAAATCCATTTAATAATGGGTAAAATGGTCATTTGATCCTTTATCTATTTTGAGTTGGATTTGATCCCTTCTTACCCCTAATGTTCTTCACCCCTACCTTAGGCCATATGAACCTACCCTACCCCTTGCAACCTCCACCATCGATACCCCAAATCCATCATCGTTCTTCATAGGGGTGCTCAAAAACCTGAAGAACCCGATGAACCCGACCAACGCAACCCGATTTAAAAAAAAAAAAAAAAAAACTCAATCTGAGGTAACCCGATGCATGATCGATAAAAAAAATTAGCTAACCCGACCTTATTGGGTTGGAATCGGGTCAGACCCAAAAAAACCCGACCAACCCGACAACCCGATGAACTCGACCTTAACTTTAGCTTTGAATTGTAGATGACAATCATGACATGACCAACCTCAACGTCAAGAAAGCAAAAAAATCGGGGTTGGAAACGTCTAAAACTATTGTTGTTGATTGATGTATTATCATTTGGCTTAAACATTTTTATTATAATATCTAAATATTTGATGAACTTGCATATTATCTTGAATGGTCGGTCGTATTTCAAAAGAAAGTTTTCTTTATTTTTATGTGATTTTACATTGTTTAAACACAGCCCGATCAACCCAAACGGGTTGGGTTGGATTGGGTTGGGTTGAAAATTTTCAAACCGCCAACATTGGGTTGAGTTGTTAAAACGGCTCCAAACCGATCAACCCGGGCCGTGAGCACCCCTAGTTCTCCATCACCATCGTAACTCATTCAACCTCCATTTCCATTGTTCTACGTCATCTCCACCCCCACTGTAACCTACTCCAAAATGAAATATAATTGTTTGATAACTGTTTACAATGAGATTAGAAAGTTGAATGGTTAAGGGAGGCATAAGATACAAAATCATTCAGAGAGCTTTGAAACCATTAAGAAGCAGACTATTTTTTTTCCAAACAAGATTCACCTCTTAACGATTCAGAACATACCTCTTAATGAAACTATTAAAAGGTAAATAAACAATCCCTAACTCTTTAAGTTATTTAAATTATTTTTTAATAATAAAATATAGTACAAGCTAGACTAGTACAACCTGATGAAAAATGAAATAAAATTTACATGAGATATAGTTTAGTATAGCCAAAAGTTAAATTCTTTTTTGTTTCATTTCATATATAATTAAATATAAATATGAAATAATGAAATTATATATATACTATATTATAAAACATTTGACAAAAATTCTTAAAAACCATTTTTTATGCGTAAGATATCTATACTATATTATAAAACATTTGGCTAAAACTCTTAAAAACTCTTAAAACTCTTAAACTCTTAAAA